TTCTCCTTAACCTCTCATGTCCTCATTATTTACACCAGTGTTTCTCAACCAGAGGTACATGTACCCTGGGGGGTACACAGATGTCTTCCGGGGGGTACATCAACTCATCTAGATAATTGCCTGGTTTTACAAGAATTTACATAAAATGCACGAATTAAATCAGGACAAACTAAAATTTCATACAGACGATGGACGGGTTTATACTGCTCGCTATACTATACACTGAAATAGAAATACAATATGTATATTCCAATTGATTTATTTTTTAATTATATGGAAAAATGAGATAGTAAGCATTTTTTCAGTAACAGTATCCTGTGACACTTCTGTATTTTTGTGTCTGATTTTGTAAGCAAGTAGTTTTTAGAGGAGGTGAAACTTGGGGAAACGCAGGACAAATCAGACTCCTGAAAACGGTACAGTAGTCTGTCAAGTTTGAGAGCCACTGGTTTACACTATGGGTCATGCATAGTTTCTGAATATGAAACTCAAAATTAATCTGAAAACAAAATAATGGAAATGGCAGTAGCTTTTAATCAGAGCTGCTGTAGATCTGGGTGTGTGTTTTTTCTTGTTTTAAATGCTCAACAGCCTTAATTTTAAATCTAAGAAACCGGAACAGAACATAGTCACAGCTCAACACCAACAGTGCATCACACGAAAAGCAGTCATCTGATTACATCAAACCCTATCCAGGACTCCATGTGGTCAAGATCTGTTTGGCAAAAATCTGGATGTTACCCTGTTATACAAATCTATCAGTCAACAACAGCCTGCAGTGTTGTCTTTTGTAGAAGCATCAGAGGAAAGCATCAGGTATAACAGTGTCAACCCAACAGTAGTCTCTGGGAGAGTTATTTGGTAAGTGGTGGTTCCAGAATGAAGCAATAGTGGGCTGAAGTTTGGCCCGATTTCATCTGATGCAGCTGGGGGTTTGAATGCAACACAAGGCTGAATGTTACCTCAGTACAGAGGCTGAAGTTGCTTTCAGCTCACTGAAGTCTGAGCTTCAAATTAAGTTGGAGATGGGGCTTGAGCACAAAAGACATCTGCTACTGTCAGCCAAAGAAATACTACCCAGACTCGCCACCTAAGTATTTGTCTGAGAACCAGGTTAGTTGCTGATGCACATGGACTGAAAGACAATTCCATTCTAAGTAAACTGGCATCCAAGTTCACTAGTGAGCTCTTTTGGACATACACCTTATATTTACAATTAAGCGACTCACAGAAGACACAGTTCTTATTCACAGAACTTCCTAATTTATTACTTTTAAATATGCTTGTTTTATAAATACCTGGGGCTGGTGTTATGCAGTTGTGTAAAAAAAAGTTGTTGTTTAAAAGCAAAAAGTGTGCTATTAGCATGAAAGAACCTCTTTCACAGCCTAACCACTACTCATACATAAGGCTGCACGTCTGTCACAGAGGTTATGGAAGTCACAGATTCTGTGAATTTCCGTGACTTCTGCAGCAGCCAGTGTGGCTGGCTCTGGGACTACCCAAGCACTTGGGCAGCCCCTGGGCCAGCAGCAGTTCCCGGCCAATGGGAACTGCAAAGCCAGCCGTCTGGGCAGAGGCAGTGCACATAGCTGCCTGGCTATGCCTCTGCCTAGGAGCTGAGAGAGTGGGATGTAGCCACTTGCGGGGAGCTCCCCAGGTAAGCACCACTCAGAGCCCACTTCACCCTGTCCTGTGCCCCAACCCCTCCCACATCCAAACTCTGCTGCTGCTGGAGGAGGAGGTGCGGAGCCAGGTAGGGAGCCTGCCACAACCCGTGCCCCAGCACCAGCGGGGGTCTCAGGCCATGTGCCGCCCCTGGGCTGCCCTCCCCTAGCATCCATGGTAACCCCAGGCAGCCCCCCCAAGTTTTAGTCCAGAGTATTTAGTAAAAGTCATGGACAGGTCAAGGGCTGTGAATTTTTGTTTACTGCCCGCAACCTTTATTAAAAACACCCACGACTAAAACGTAGCCTTACTCATAAACAAGGTACATACATTTTTTTGGCTTGTTTAGAGCAGTTTCCCTGCTTGCTTGAGATCTTGAGAAGGAAAGCTTAAAAACCAACATAATCTCAAAGCAGAAGGACCACTGGTGATAAGCATAACCTCTACTTTAGAAACAGAAACCTAGAGCATCAGCATCCTTTGCGTAAGTAGATAGTGAACGAAGTTAACAGTTTTCACATTCATCTTTTTGAAACCAGATGTCTTTAGACTAGTACAGAAAGGAAAGAGACATAAATTTTTGAAGTCCACCATTCTTCACAAGTCCTGTTCCTTTGTAGCAAAGGCTTTCCTATATGAATTTTTCACACAGTGCTGTAAACAACGTACTACTGACTCTCTGCAAGTTCATCCAAGTTGAGGGATGGAAAAAAATGTTCACCTTTTGCCTTCACTCATAATGCTCTAAGTTTTATGCATGCAAGTAATTTACTATCACTGCAGAGGACTGGTCATTAACTGTTCTTTCTAGCTGAAAGAATTAGCAGGTATATTACAATATTTCATTCGTTATCTGGACACCTCCCATACAAGTCTACAAATCTTTAGAAAGTCTACACGAGGATGAGAGGGCTGGATCAGAGATTGGCAACTGAGCTGTTGTCAAGAGCATCTGAAGCACAACATAAGGTGCTTTACATTTTTGCACAGAAACAAAAACAAAATAAAATTAGAAACTGGGGGGGGGGTGAGGGAAGGAAAGAGATGAAAAAAAAAACAGATCTATATTTGAAATTTACAGAATAGTGTTTATTTTTCCAAAATGAGTTTCTACTGCAAAAAAGAAAAACCACCTACCTGACACAAATATATCTTGTGCAAGTTCCACTCCTCTCCCAGAGCACAGATCTTAATATCACTATTTTCACCATTCAAAAACAGAGTCTGATAAATATACTTGGATGTACTTTTTAGTTTTTTCCTGGATAAAAAAAAACAACAACTCAAAGACATACACAAACTGTGGAATTCTGCCACAAAGAAAATGAAAATATTTGTCAAGCACTTGATTGTTTACAGCACCATATCAGAAGTTGGCTAGCAAGATTTTCTTCTCTTCCCTTAGTCATGAGACAGTTATAGACCATTTCCCCCCATGTGCTGCTGACAGAGGTCATTTGACGTAAGTTTACTTTTTTTTTGTTTACTACAGCTAAGTAGTTATCAGGACATTCCCAGAGTGAATAGGAGAGCTAACAGAAGCCCCAAAGCCCACACCTGCCCCTGCACACAAACATACCCTGCCAATTTTCATGGGTCTAGAACCCCTTTCTCTAGGATTAGTTTTCTCTCTCCCCCCCCCCCCACGCTTTCTATGTGACAAGCCTCCAAAGAGCAGAGGGAACTCAGCCCTCCCTACATCCCCAATCCTTCTTGGCCACCGCATCCAGCTGGATTCCCATCAGACTTCTCCCAACTCCACACATTTCATCGCCACCAGCCCTTCCCTTCTGCCTCCTCAATCACCCTCCAAATCCCTCCCTCCACCCTTACCCTTAAGGGCCCATAACTATGCCTCCCTGACATCCCTCCACCCATGCCTGCCAGGACCCCTGCAGCTGAGACCCACCATGAACCAGGACCCCCCCTCAGCCAAGCCCCTCCCCCGCTAGCCAGGACTCCCCCAAGCCCCCCTCAGCCAAGCCCCCCCCGCCTAGCCAGGACCCCCCAAGCCCCCCCTCAGCCAAGCCCCCCCCCGCCTAGCCAGGACCCCCCAAGCCCCCCTCAGCCAAACCCCCCCCGCTAGCCAGGACTCCCCCAAGCCCCCCTCAGCCAAACCCCCCCCCGCTAGCCAGGACTCCCCCAAGCCCCCCTCAGCCAAACCCCCCCCCGCTAGCCAGGACTCCCCCAAGCCCCCCTCAGCCAAGCCCCCCCCCCCCCCGCTAGCCAGGACTCCCCCCAAGCCCCCCTCAGCCAAGCCCCCCCCGCTAGCCAGGACTCCCCCAAGCCCCCCTCAGCCAAGCCCCCCCCGCTAGCCAGGACTCCCCCAAGCCCCCCTCAGCCAAGCCCCCCCCGCTAGCCAGGACTCCCCCAAGCCCCCCCTCAGCCAAACCCCCCCCGCTAGCCAGGACTCCCCCAAGCCCCCCTCAGCCAAGCCCCCCCCCGCTAGCCAGGACTCCCCCAAGCCCCCTCAGCCAAACCCCCCCCACTAGCCAGGACCCCCCCAAGCCCCCCTCAGCCAGGCCCCCCCGCTAGCCAGGACCCCCCCAGCCCCCCTCAGCCAAGCCCCCCCCACTAGCCAGGACCCCCCCAAGCCCCCCCCTCAGCCAGGCCCCCCCCGCCTAGCCAGGACCCCCCCCAGCCCCCCTCAGCCAAACCCCCCCCCCCCTAGCCAGGACCCCCCAAGCCCCCCTCAGCCAAACCCCCCCCCCGCTAGCCAGGACCCCCCCAAGCCCCCTCAGCCAAGCCCCCCCCCGCTAGCCAGGACCCCCCCAAGCCCCCGTCAGCCAAGCCCCCCCCCGCTAGCCAGGACCCCCCCAGCCAAGCCCCCCCACTCCGCTACCTGCGGGGGGTGTTGAGCAGCTGCTCCTCGCGCTCGCCGTCCCCGTCGCTGTCGCTCTCGCCGGGGCCCTCGGGCCCGCCCCGCTTCCGCTTCCCTCCGCGGCTGCCCCGGTCCCCGTCCGCCCCCTCCCCGCGCGGGGGCGCCACCCGCCGCCTCAGCACCCGGCTGCTCAGCGAGCCCATGGCGGCTGGGCCGCCGCCTCCTCATGGGGCCGCCCGGCGCGGAGCGCCCAGCAAAACGGGCGGTTGGGGGGGGCGGGGACTTAGCGACGCCCAGCCGCGTCCATTGTCGCCGCCACACAAGCCGAGGCCGCGGCGCATGCGCGGAACGGGACAGGCGGCGCATGCGCTAGGAAGGTCACCCTACGGCGCATGCACCTACGAAACTACGGGAGGGGGGAAGAGGAGGGAATTGGAGCGTGCTCCAGGGAAAGTCGCATGCACCTACGACACGCCCCCGGAAGGGGAGGGAATTAGCGCATGCGCGCTGTGCTCCCCTGGCGGGTCGGAGCGCGAGCGCGGCTGCAGTAGGCGGCTCGTGCCGCAGGGCTGCTCCCGTTGACCGCAGTGGCTCCTGGTTTGCAGTTTTGCACCTGTTGCAGAAGGCAGGGGGTTGGACTAGATGACCTCCTGAGGTCTCTTCCAGCCCTCATCTTCCCCCCCACCCTTTAGCCTTTTCATAGAAGGAGAACATAAATGTGAAGTGGCCCAGTGGTCACAGCTGTTCGTAATTTGCTTGAGACAGTTTGACGAACCCTCTTTCTAGTCATACTTTTAACTATTCGTTAGCTAACTTCTTGTGAGTATCATTCTCAAAAAGGTCTTCCGAAGGATTCGGCTGTGATGAAAGCAGGGAGTTCGTGCACCAGATCAGAAAAGGTGGGTATTTACCCATAGACATCTGCAAAAGTAACTCATCCTTCACAGGTTTCAGAGGAACAGCCATGTTAGTCTGTATTCGCAAAAAGAAAAGGAGGACTTGTGGCACCTTAGAGACTAACCAATTTATTTGAGCATGAGCTTTCGTGAGCTACAGCTCACTTCATAAAATCCTTTGGTGTGAGGCCTACAAAATAATAGACTACAGCTAGGCTGAGAACATACCAGCATTGTCTCAGTATCCTTGTACACCCCACCCCCATTTGTTCATGCCTATCTGTTGTTCTTGTTTTATACTTAAAGCGTAAGCTCTTTGGAGGCAGGGACTGTCTTTTTGGTCTGTGTTTGTACGGTGCCTTGCACAGCGGGGTCCTGGTCTGTGGCAGGCTCCTCTGTGCTGTGATAACACAAAATAAAAATAGTTGTAAGGAGTGGCATGGAAGAAAGTGGGAAGATAGTTGGATGCGACAAAAGGGGGCTGTGCCGGTGGGATCACCGGCAGGCAGCAGTCTTAGGACTGATCTACACTCAAAACTTACATCAGCAGAACTACATTTCCCAGGGGTGTGAAAAATCCACACCGCTGAGAAATGTAACTATGCCGCACTAACCTCTGGTGTAGACAGCAGTAAGGTGACAGAAGAATTCTTCCAGCAGCCTAGCTCCCACCTCTCAGGGAGGTGGATTAACTACCAGCAATGGGAGAACGCCTGCTGTCGCTGTAGTGGGCGTCTCCACTGAAGCGCTACAGGTGCACAGCAGCCGTAGTATTGTAGTGTTGTATGTGGAGACATAGCCTTCGGCAAACTACCATTTAGGCAAAGTCTTAAAAACAAGGACAAAGAGCTTGAACTTGCTGTAGCTTAGAAGGAACGATGCGTTGGAGCTGGATTGTCTGGTCTCCTGCTTCCCCTACAGTGGGGATCCCATTTTCACATATGGGGGGAGCAAGGGCCAAAACTATTGCCGAAACACAGGATCTTCCTGTGGGAGCCTTGACTTTAGCTGATCTGAGGCGACTTGTAGGCAGGTCTCCCTCCCACCCTTATTTTGCAAGAAGGATTAACCCCATTTCTCCCCTTTCCTGGTAATGTGAAGGAATCTCCCAGAGGATCATTGGAGACTTCCTCTTCCCAAGGACCCTCCGCTGGGTTTTACTGTGGGGGGGGGCAGTCCAGGCTGCACTTTGGAGAGGCAGCTGATGTGAAGTTGTGGGACGGGCGAGAAAACACAAGCCTAACTAAAACATGGCGATGCACCTATACGATTTCATCTCATTCAGAAAAGACACCTTTTAGAATTCAAAGTAAAGAAATGATTGGTTTATTACATTGAAAAAGTGAGCACTGGCCAGCAAGCCATTTTTATGGTAAAGCCAGAGGGCACTTGTGAACCTGCAGTAGTGATAAGGCTGAGTGGTTTCTTCTTACTGAGCAGCAGATTGTTGCAGAGCTTAGACTTACTGCCAACAACCCTCCTCTGAAGAAGGGAGCATAAAGACAGCAGAACGAAGTGGGAAAGTGACTTGTCCGAGGCCAGAGAGAGGGTCCAGTTTTGCACCTGGCCAAGTCAATGGGAGCAAAGCGAGTGGTAAAGTTGGGTTTACAACACAGTAGATCCTGCCTTCTATTTCCATGCTCAGCCTACACTGCTCCCTTCCAAAAACAATTACTGCACCACTCAGGCTATGACTGCGTTACAAAATGTGGTTTGGGTGGTTGTTTTAAAAAAAAACAAACAAACCCAAACGGTGGGACAACTAATGCTAATTAGCTAGCCCTCTCCTACTGTAAAACTGTAGACACTACTTTTGACCATGAGGTAGATGAGATTAGCACTATACCTCTGCCCACGCGTAGCCTCCCCTTATTTAACTCCCACTAAGGCTATGGTCTACACTACAGCTGTGTCGGCATAACTCATGTTGCTCAAGGGTGTGAATAAACCACCCCTGAGTGACATAAGTTACATCAACATAAGCGTTTCCCACCAACATAGCTTCTGCCACTCACAGAGATGGGTTCTTTATGCCAATGGGAGAGCTCTCTCCCATCAGCAGAGTGTCTTCACCAGATGTGCTGCAGAGTACAGCCGTGCTGTGCATATAGACACGGCCTAAGAGCACAGTGCCTGATCTCCATGAGGAATTTACCGTAGGACAGGGAAAGCTAAGGTGCATTAGTTATTCTGCTGTAAAACACACACACTTTTTGCAGTGAAGATATAACCTCAGACCAAACAGAATGTGGATTAGGTTTCTGAACAGAATGGCTTCTTTCAACCAGCTCGCTGCAGAAAAGGCATTTAGTGGAAGGCCTTGTCTATGCACAAAAGTTGTACTGCTTTACTGTATGGTGAAGTTAAAGGCGCATAACTGGTGGATGCAGTTACTGTATGGAAAGGGGAATAAGGTATTCCAGCACCAAGCTCCTCTCTACGATTATAAACTGCATCCACAGTAGAGGATGTGCGAGTGTAACAATATTAGTGAAGTCACACCCTTAACCAACAGTTATATTAATGCAAAATGTGTGTGTGTAGACTAAGCCTAAGGCTACTGGAGTTTCTAATTTGCTGCTTGTGAATTATATCCTGTTCCTATCTTCTGATATACATAAACAAATAGCCATAGTGATGTGGAATGTCGATAGAGTGTTTCGATATAGACACGCCTTTCATTTTAGACTAATGGTTTTCTTTGTGCTGGAATATAGTCAGAGAAATAAAGCTTGTTTTCTGTACTTTTCCCACATGGACGGTGTTAATATTTTCCTGTGAAGAGTCTTCTGCAGTCTGTGCCTAAGCCCGCCTCAGTTGGTCGGTAAGTTCAATGGCAGTAGGATGTCACAAGTCTTCAAGAATTATTCATGTAGTAGATGCAGATAGATCAAGTTACAGTAGCAGTAAAGGCTTTAGTTAAACTCTCCCCTCATTTCCACCTATTTTGTATGGATTGTAGGAGTGGGCAGAATCCAGCCCTCTGTTACACCCTCGCAATTGCACTGTATGGCAACATAGATGTGAGCTTGGTAATATGAAGCTCATTGCAGGCTCACTTAACAGAACCTTGGTCAGAGTCTAAGACGGATGTTAGCTATTGCTTCCCTTTTTGCAGCAAGATGCCGTTCTCTAGCGCAGATAATCCAACTGTAGAATGGAGTCTGAGACTCTACAAATCATCTAGTGCTCCTGTTTCTCCAAACATGTCTTTCCAAAGCCTGCTGGGAGAAGTAATTCAGCCAGGAGATTCTGCACTGGACGCTAGTTAAAGGCATGACTGGCTCTGGTAACACAATTAGTGCACCATTGCATATTCTAAGCAATAAAAGCATATCATAAGAGGCAATTGGCATTGATTAGCCTAAGTCAATTCTAATAGCACTATCTAAACCTATTTTAAGGGGGGGGGAAATCTTGGGATCTATTTCTCCTTTCCCCTGACAACAAGTTGTACATGGTTTAGTCTTCACCACCACAGAGCAAGAGTAGGACTTTCCTATAGTCTCCTGAAGTGTCTCCCTGAAAGAAAGACAGACAAACACGTGATTAGATGTGCAACACGCGTTCTCAGAAAAAAGACCGTACAGTACCATTTACACTAGTTTGAGCTGATTGTAGGAGTTGTCCCCATGAGATTTTGAATTTCTTTGCCAACTTAAAGTTTGATCACATTTAAGGTGCACCTTTCATCCCAGAGTACTTGACACACATTGATCATGTATAAGGGCACGCTACCCACCACTAAAATGCAGCGACGTGGAATGCAGGAACTATTACCATGTGCGACAACATCCCACAACCGTTTTAAGACAAAGTTAATACTTTAACAAAAAATCAAGCAACAAGGATCAAATGAGAAACCACTACAGTATTAAAATATGAAATCCAACTACAGGAGTTCTTTGAGATTTAAAAGAACAAAACAAAAAAACAAAACAAAAAAACCCACACCTGCCCATTAGCCCTTTGAGGAATCCAAGCCAATGTTTCTAAGACGCACAGTTTATAGTTATAGAAGGTTGGCAAATAAGTGTCCTCTGACCACAAGACATTAAGCTGTGCTTCAGATCCAACTCACAGAGGGTGAGGGCAGAAATCTTGCTTGGATAGCCAGTACAAAGGGGCTGGATGGTGTTATCTTAGTATTCATCACCGGACCAGTCAATCTGGCATTACTGGAAAACTGTTAAACAATCCTAACACCAAAATTTGTAAGGGCAATGCAAGTCAGGATTAGAGGTGGGTCAAAATTTAAAATATAAGGCAAAAATGTTTTAAAGTTTGAATTTTGTGGGGTTTGAGATGCATGCAATTTTTCAATCTTTTCAGAAGTTTTCTGAATTTCTTTTGATTTTTCCCTTATTGTGTATTTCCCTCTTTCCGTTTTCTCCTCCTTCCTTTTCCCTTGTCATTTCAAAAAAAAAAACCAAAAAAAAACCACCCCACAACAAAAAAACAAGGATTTTTTTGAATGCCTAGTGAAAAAACAAAAATATATATATCAAGAATGGACAATTTCATACACGTCCCCGCCCCCCAAAAAGCTGTTCAAGAATAATAGCTTCTTGTTTGAAAAGTGTGGACCAGTCACTAATCAGACTACAGGGCAAAGTGGCTCGTGCTGTGTGCAGCAAGACCATGGTTTCTAGGTAAGGAAAGCTTACCTGGATGAAGGAGTAGAGAGATTTCCCGTACATCCTCTTGAATTCATGCCTGATATCCAACATGTCAATTTCACAGCGCGACACCATCACTCGAATGAGGGTATCGTCATCGGTCCCTAAACCCTAAAGAAAAAAAGCAACCCTTGTACAAATATTGTGCATTGTGGGTAAATCATTGTTAATGGTTAAGGTTTCATCCTTTGTTTCTGGGTGGGAAATTAGCCCAAAGCATTTTGCATTGAGTGTGACAGAGTTCCCTATTTTCAGCATATAATGGGGCAATGCCAGTTTTGTCCCTTAGCAGAGGAGGACAGGAGATTCATGAAGATTATGAACCACTTGGGTTGCTGCCCTCTCTCCTCTCCCGCTACTGTATTAAATTCAGCTGCTATTTATTTTAGCATGCCTCTATATTTAATTGGGGGTGGGGGGGAACCACATACACAGAAAAGCTATTTACCTTCATGGAACCGTATAATCTTTCGGCAAAGTATGCATGCTTATTCCTTATGCATTTTACTGTGAAGAGAAAAGAACAAGGGAGATTTTCCAAATCTTTACATCTCAAGGCTGCAGTTACTGCTTAAAGCTCCCATCAGATCTGTATGGGAGGTCAGTGGTGGATGCAGAGGTCTTTCTGCAGATCCATTTGCAGAATCGGGGCCAAAACGTGCACATCCCTGACTATTAGTCCAAGAAGCTCCAAGGTATGGACTTAGAGGCCACTGGACAAGCTGATAAATACAGCAAGGGTAAATGCAAAAGAACGAGCCCCTTCAAATTAACCTGAAGTCCTGTCCATTACAGTACAGCCATTTGTTTAAAGTTTGCAATGCTCTTTGATAAGCGTCAGCACCCTCAGCACCTGGTGGCAAAGGTAAACAATGAGACAGTGGAAGCAATGAAACTTTTGCCATCTTGTTCACAGGCACTTGCCGTATTTGCAAGGGGTAAAACAGTGTGACCTGTGCCAAGAATGGAGACAGTTACTGGCCATCAACAAAGCGTGTCCCCTGCACGTTGCTCTGTTAAGACAGTGGGCAAGAGACACAGCGCGGCTAAAGATGGAGATCTCACTATGCCAAGGTGAAGCAAGCCTAATACTTTAGATAAAATGCCCGTGTCTCCTTCAATGGAGAAAGTGATTTTAACTCCAGGGTCACACACTTTGTTGCTTTGAAAAGCAAGGCACTTTGCACACATCACAGGCTCCTTGCGTTTCATCCCCGTCCACCCTCCCATCCCCCTCTATTTCAGGAACTACCTAGGGATTTTAAAGTTAACCAAGCTTCGACTCCATGGCTTCTGTGCTCAAGGCTGACAGAAGCGATCCTTTCCCATTCTACACCCCGATAGTGTGTTGTGTAACTAAACAACCCTAAATTTAAAACCGGAATACTCACCCACAGCTAATAAGGCATCTTCAAGGTCTCCCGACATCTCAGATTTAATGCTTTCTGTAATGTCCTTCTTAGTGATCCTTCTGTATTCATCAAAGACTGGAAAAGAACACACACTAGTGAAAAGTCATCAAGCAAGATTTGTTGGTGCCATCTACAAAGGCTTAACCATCAAGGACCAGTTTGCCAGGTCAAGCAGCTGAGTGCTTTGTATGCACATTTGGCCTCTCTTTTTTTAAGTGGTAGACAATTGCAGTTGTCCTGGAAACCATTCAGTTTATCTTCATTTTAACTATCATCAGTTCTCTAATTGGTCAGTTAACTGCTGGTAACAGTGTGATGAATTATTACTTAATGGGGTCCAGCTGAGTAGCTTTGCCTTCCCATTTGGTTCAACATTCTGCCACAAGGGAAGGTTTGCCATTTCGCCATCAGTATTTGCAACCAGCCAGCTCTGCAAGAGCCACTAACAAGATCACTAGAGACTGTGGTTTGAGAACCTCTGATCCAGTAGAATGGCGCCTGTCTTTCTTCCTGTAGGGGGAACGTTATCAAGAAGCTTGCTCCTGAACTCCTATCCTTGGTAACTGTCGCCAAAGTCCCAGTTTACTACTTCTGGTATAAAGACTGGAGCATAGGTGATCCATACAAGTTCATTCTTGTGTCTCTAGGGATCCTTTTAGGCTCACGAGAATAGGTTCCTGTATTAAAATACTCTGAAGTAGATACATAAGACCAGACTCCAGAGTAGGCGTGTGCCTTTGAGAAGGGTCCCTTCCTGTTTGCCAAGAGATGTACCTAAAAAAAAGGCTTTTTTTTTTTTTTTTTAAAAAGAGAAAAGTATGTAGAAAATTGCTGAGACTTTTACCCTTTAATAAGTGATTTCTGTTTCTTGAACAGAGGATAGTCAGGAATTGTCCCTCATTTGTCCCCCATTTCTTCTCCCCGGCTTCATACAAGCACTAGAAAGAATCAAGCACATGAAATAAGGGTTAGCCCAAAAGCTCAAGTCAAGCCAGAGAGCTTGGGTCTTCCAAAAAGATCATTATCCCATTTTACACATGGGGAAACTGGAGGTGCAGAAACTGGTCCAAGGTCATCCAGCAGCAGAGCCCGCACTAAAACCCAGATCTTCTGGGACCGAGTCCAGTGCACTACAAACATGCCAGCTAAATGGTTGATGACTTTTACTGGCCTTTAAAAAACAATGGGTGGAAGGACCGGGGATCAGCAAACACCCACCGCGGTGGGGCAGGTGTTTCTTAAAGAGTACGAAGAGCTACAGACCTGGGCATCTTGCTGAGCAAGGCCTTCATCCACATAGCTTCCCTGGTCCCTGTTTCCCTGCAGAAACACAAGAGGGCTGTGTTAAATTCAGCCTTTCAGAGGGACTCATGGAACAGAGTTGAGCAAGCTTGCTGTTTGAAACAAGTTACCGAGCATATATAACGAGGATCGATTGAGAAGGCAGCTGCAATTGTGCAACAGATTGTTGCAAGAGGGGTGGTGGAGAAAGCTCTGAAGTATTATTTGAGGGTCTGATTTTATTTATTTTTAAGAGAGGCTGAGGACTCAACTCTATCTGATGTCAGTGGGAGCCATGGGGCCTAAGAAAGCACATGGTGTTAACACACACACATACACCCCGATTCCTGTCCCACCCCCTGAGCAGCCTGCCCTTCAGGTCAAACCAATGTGATACACAGGATACCAGCTGAAATGCAAGGTGGCGTGGAGACAGTCCTGAAGGAGATCAGCAGGGGAAGACTGTGCAGTAGGAGAAGGGGAAGGATGTCTAGGAAGGGGATGAAAAGAGCAAGTTGCAAAGCAGAGAGCAGGAGAAGGAACCAGATGAGAGGGAGGATTAGCACTAGTGTTTAATACAAATCGGTCTGATCTTTTACACTGGTGTAACTCCACTGACTTCCATTGTGCTACTCCTGACCTACGTCAGTGTAAGAGAGAGGAGAATCAGGCATTCGTGGTACTTAGTATAGAGAGACCTTGTCACAAAAACAAGGTGCTGTGCTGCTTTAGGGAAGACGCTACTACGCCGACAAGAGAGCTTCTCCCATTGCCGTAATTAATCCAGCTCCGCAAGAGGCAGTAGCTACGTTGATGGGTAAAGCCCCCTCGCTCCCCGGTTCAACATAACACTGTCTACGCTGCGGAGGTTAGGTTGGTACAACGGTGTCGTTCAGGGGTGTGATTTTTCAAGATGAGCAATGAGGTTATACAGCTGTCAGTTTCTTGTGTAGACCTGCCCTTAGAGGATTTGTTCAGCAGCAACAAGAATCAGACGGTTTTTCTTAAACTGCACTTACTGTAGCTAGAGACACCAGCACGTGCCGGAACGTGGAAGATGTATCTGAGACAATGTCCTTCTCAAGGGTCGTTCCGTATTCTAGCAAGAGAGCACAGACATACATGAATACTTGCTTTTAACAGAGAAAGTTCAGCACCTAAACACGATTCATCTTAGAGAAGTCTTCTACATGTCTGGTTGTGACCTAGGTGTCCGGATTATGTGTCTGTCCCTCAATTTCTGAACCTGCCTGCCTAGGAATTGCCACGTTGACCCTGGATCTTATTCTTCTCTCCCTTTGCATCAGTGTAACTGACTTCAGTAGAGTTGCTCTGGATTTAGGCCAGTGTATGTGAAATTAATCAGAGTTACACAGTTGTAAGGGAGGAGAAGCCAATCTGGATCATTCTCTCTAAAATAAATCTGAGGTCTGTTCCACACATGAAGTTGCACTGATTTAACTAAAGGTGTTTTGTTAATCTGGTGCAAACCTCTGTATGGAGACACTTAAATCACTTGAACCCTGGGTAAGCTATGTAGTGAGGCAGAGTAGCCTCCCTCCGAGCCTGAAATGGAGGGACCACTACAAGCTACCATCTATAAATATATAGACACAAGCTGAAAAAGGAGACAAACTAGTTTAAAACTTTTGTCCATACAGGGATTTGAACCAGTTTAAGTCTATTTTTAAAAAACAGTTTTAACAATTATTATTTGTATTATTGCAGCACCTAGGGGCCCTAGTGACAGACCAGGATCCCAGTACAGCTTCTGAGTGAAATCCTGACTCTTTTGATGTCCGTGAGAGTTTAGCCATTGACTTCAGTGTTGCCAGGATTTCACCCTCTCTGTGTTTAGACAAGGCTTAAGTCTCTGTCCACTGAGCATAATTATGCAGGCACAGTAGGTCACAATCAAGTGAAAGACAGACAGAAAGAAGGTATCGCAACAGTCTCTTGCTCCGACTGTGATGCTTCTTAGTTTCACAAGATGTCTTGCTGATGGCTCAGTTATTGTTTGGTTGAACTGCTAGCAGCTAGAGCGATTGGAGGGTGTGGGTAAGATGCCATTCAAAGAATACAGTGTTTAAAATCTTTACAGCTGTGTGTGTGTTTGAGAGAGAGAGAGATTTCGCAAAATATCTTCAACCTCTAGATCGACATAAGTAGTGCATACAGTTCTATTGGTATTTAACCATTTAACCAATAATGATACAAACTGGGGAAAACACATTTGCTGGCTGGGAAATTTAAATGTTTATGGGGTCAAGAGGTGGAAGGAATTTCTCTAGCTTCTTCTGCCAATAAATCACGAGGCAGCCTTAGGAAATGGTGATTTAAGCCTTAGTTCAGGAAAGGACCCCAAACACATATTTAGCTTTAAGTATGTTGTCACAGTTCAAGGCAACTGCACCTGTGTTCCCCCTCCATGTCCACCAAAGGCACCAACTCTAGGCTCCCCAGTCTTCACCTCTCTAGTGCAGAGATGCATCTCTCCCTCCTGACAGGGATTTTTCCAGGCTGCACAGCTCCCTGCCTACGCTGTGAGTTCCCCAGTAAACCAGACTCCCTGAACAGGCCTGCATCTGCACTTTGCTTTCTCCCCAAAGGCTAGAACTGTGGGCAATTACCACAGTTCGTAAGTTACCACGCAGCTTTTCCTAAGCAAGCACATTTACTCTTAAGGTGAGAGCATTAAAGACAGTAAGAGTTCCTCTGCACACACTCATAATCTTACCAGGTCATCCATCAGTCTTATGGGGCCTCAGTAGGCCGAATTCCTTCCAAGTTCCAATCCTTCCTAGGAAAGATTGGGGCCACCCTTAGAAAGTCCTGTCCATTTGCTGGATCAGAAACTAGGTCGTGAGCCGGGGCATGCACAAGCGGGGGCAAGCAGGGACACAGCCCTCACCCGCTCCCAATAATCGTCAGGGGCACAGAACTCCTCCAGCCCCGGGGCCAGAGTCGCATGGAGAGCAAGCTCCTCCTGGCCCCAAAAGGGGTCAAAGTTAAATTTCTGCGCACGCCCCTGGTCGTGAGTGAGTTTAAACCAAAAGTCCTTTCTTTGTCTGTTGGTCTCTGGAGAATCCAGTTTGATGCAGGATATGCAAGCGTCTCCAGGTTGTGGTACCTCTCTGGAGGTGTTACAACCCTAGTGAACTTACCTCCCACCGTTAGTTCCAGGAAGGCGGTGGTCATCATCCCCCATGGAATTGCATACAATCCCTGGCCCACAATGATACATAAACTTAATACAGTGAGATCTCCCAAAGATATTACAGGACACTAAGCACATGTGTAATAGATATGGCAATCAGGGGAACTTAAGCACATGGCAAAGTGCTTTCCTGGATCTGGGCCATAGTTGGGACCTCTTGCAAACTTCTCCACTTGCTTTCCCAGTACAGGTTACTCTCAATGCACTAACGTCATAGGATCTCATAATTTATACTACTTACGACGATGATAGGTCTCGTTAATGCGCTGGATTTCTTCACAGGAACGAGAAGCCAGAATTTCGATCAGGCAGCCCTCATCTGTCCCGGCACCCTAAACGCAGAACAGAGAATCAGGATGAAAGCGGCTTTCAATCTACCAGCAAACAGAGGCACCGTGATAGCAACACAAGATGGAGAATCAACTCTCTTGAGTAATAGTCCAGGATCCGATGGGCACACCCCCATCTGGGTAAGTCACTTAATTTCTCTGCCTCTGTTTCACCACTTGTTCAATGTGGATACATTACAGACTTCATGCGAAGAAGTGATATTTGTTTGTAGAGTTGGGTGGCTCATGAAAGATTCTGAGATTTAAAAAAAGTCCCATTACGCAACAGGAGGAAACGGAAACCTTTTGAGAGTTTTTACAAAGAAGCAGAGAGGCACAGGCTCTCCCCAGAATAGCCAGGGGGTTAAGGCACTCACCTTTGAAGTGGGAGACCCACATTCAACTCCCTGCTATGTATGATTCAGACCAGAAACGTCAACCTGAGTCTCTCACATCCCAGGTTATTGACTAGTTTTCTCACCAGACATTCCATTCTGGACCCAAGAAACCTTTTCATCCAAGTAGACCCATCCCCACAAAAATACTTGGTTTGGACAGGTCTGCATTTTCCAACAACAACAAGGTGTTGTTAAAAAGCTCCTGACCAGCTTTAGACGTTTGCACAGTGCTTTGAAGATGCAGAGTGCTATATAAACGCTAGGTTATTGAAGACCAAAAGTATAATTGGGTTAAAAAAAGAATTCGAGAAATTCCTGGAGGAAAGGTCCATCAATGGCTATTAGCCAAGATGGTCAGGATGGCCATACTCTGGGCATCCCTACACCGCTGGCTGCCGGAAGCTGGGCCTGGACAACAGGAGATGGATCACTTGAAATTACCCTGTTCTGTTCATTCCCTCTGAAGCATCTTGCATCAGCTGCTGTCACTAGACAGGTTACTAGGCTAGATGGACCACTGATCTGACTCAGTGTGGCCATTCTTATGTTCTTATTAGTGCATAGACCGTGTACCTCTTTCAGTGTCAAGCCTGATTTTGCAAGTGGGTAGCAGGATAAAGGACTATGCACGGCCCTTAGTGTGAAAGTAATTCATATTGCAACTTTTAACAATCTAGCTGTCTTACACCGAACACATCACCGTGTTCATTTTCTTATTGACCAGTAGAACAAAATGGAAGAACACACAGTCCAGAAAGCGTTTGCAGATTTAATGCACACGTTCTATTCAGGTTCTTATACAACCCTCATTAGCTTAGTAGCAGAGAGCACCTTCCAGAATTGTGTTAAGTGACGTAAACTAGCACCCTGTCACACATTCTTTCTTCCTCCTTCGGGAGAAGTTGCGTGGGGAATGTTTAATTCATGCCACATATTGAACTCACTGGTGTTTTGGTAACATCAGTGAATATTTACCAACCTTCATGGCCCTCTTCAGTTCCTGCACATCGTACAGTGTGATGGAAGTCATCAATCCTATTATCACCTTCTCAAAATTCCCACTCAGCTCAGACTTCAAATCGCCAATCAAATCCTAGAAAACCAGGGAAGGTGATAAATAGCCATGAGAACAGAAAGCCCCACTCCTCTACATAGGTGCTGGAACCAGGAGTGCTGGCACCCTGCCACATCCCCGGCTTGCAATGGTTCCCATCCTATACATGGTTTACAGTTTGATTCAATGGCTTTCAGCACCCCTGCTATTCTACACAAAACTCCTAGCTGAACTCCAAGTCTGGTAATTCCAGTGCATCCTATCTAACTCCTGCTCTGCATTCAGATAGTCCAGTGGTTAGGGCACTAGTTTATGACTTGGGAGACCAGGTTCAATCCCTTGCTCCACCACAGATTGCATCCTCTTGGGCAAGTGGCTTAGATCTACACCTAAAATATAGGGTGACCTAGCTACGTCGCTCAGGGGTGTGAAAAATTCACACCCCCTGAGAGATGTAGTGAAGCCAACCTAAACCTAGTGGGGTCTCCACCAGGGCTAACGGAAGAATTTTTCCTTGACCAAGCTACTGCCTCTCAAGGGGGTAGATTAACTACAGCAGTGGGAAACCCCCTTCCGTGGCTGTAGCAAGTGCCTACGCTACAGGGCTAGAGGGGCACAGCTGCAGTGCCATAGCATCTGTAGTGTAGACAAGGCCTCAGTCTATCTGGGCTCAGTTCCCCAGCTGTAAAACAGGGATCATAGCACTGCCCTGCCTCCTAGGGGTGTTGTGGGAATAAACACATTAAAGATTGTGAAGCACTTTGATTTCTACTGATGAACGACACTATGTGAGAGACTGGTTTGGGAAGGATGATGATGATACCAGAGAGGCTGTTTTTCACATCTTCTCCCAGCATCATCCATGCCTGATTTTAGCAGCTTCGCCATTCACTTGTTCATGTGGGCGTTTAAAATTTCTGTCTAAAGCCATTTTCGTTCCATGTTTTGCTTTTAATCGTCGTGGGCGTAAGGCAGGGGAGAACGTGGGCAGCAAAGATGGACCACTTCATCTGTGCCAGGATAGCCTGTGGTACCACCCTTCCCCACCTCCCAGTGGGGATGTAATTAGACCAGTATAAAGGTGCTTAGTCTGGTGTAGCTGTTTCTGGTTCAGTAAGCAAAGGTTACCTTTATACTGTAAGCTCTTTGGGGCATCTTTTTATTGTGTTTGTACAGCACCTAGCACAATGGGATCATGGTCCATGACTGAGGCTCCGAAGACTACAATAATACAAATTAATAATAAGACTGGTATAACTGAGTCCACACTACTGCATACACTGGTATAACTCTCAACAAACAATACATTTCTAAAGGACATAAGGTATACCCGTATAACTCTTCTAGTGTGGACCAGGCCTTAGAATAATATCTTGGTCGGTTTTGTAAGGCCGATCGTCATTTTGGAAGCCCCCCCAAGAGGCTTCACTTCTTGGTGCCTCCTTTTAGCCATCTAAACCAGTGGTTCTTAACCTGGGGTGCACGCACCCCCTGGGGGTGCGAGATGCCCTTTCTGGGGGTGCGAGACATGCCAGATTTTTTTAGAAGGTAAATCATCAAACACACAAATTAAGCACAGGTACGTAAGTACAACTACTTTGTTTCATCAAACCTATGTATTTATTAACATTACTGTAATATACAAACAAACAAATATATCTAGGTTTAAAGAACTGACCTACTTCAACGATTTTTGAGAAGGGGTGCGAGAACGTATTTTGAGAACCAAAGGGGTGCAGGCTGCAGTAAAGGTTAAGAACCACTGTTCTAAACGGAACACAGTAACATACACCAACCCTACCGGGGTGTGACGAGGACAGATTCATCTGAGGATCCAAAAGCCTTTTAAAAACCCATTAATGAAAGGCACCATAAAAAGCAGGAAGAATTAAAAAAAAAAAAAAAAAAAAAAGACCAACCAACACAAAAACACACCTTTAAGCAGATCACTGCAAAGTGACCCTTATTTGGAAACTGGGCTAGTTTTCTTAATGCTTGTCACACTCTTTGAAGCCTGTGAATCAGACTGTTGCTGTACTTATGAACAATCTTGTAGGTATGGTAGCCTTAAAGTAAACTAGTAAAGTAGACTAAATGGCAGTTAGCACTAAATCTTTGAAAAGCAGCATTTACGTGCTTGTTCGTGGATGAAGTAATGAGGGGTAGGGCACAGTGGGGTGAATCACCAGGTGGGCAAAAGTGACTATTAAGATGGGTCAGTAGTTCACACCGCCATTAGTTTTATTAGCAGTGGCCTCCAGTGAACAGATGTGTTTCCCTGGAACCACTTTCTTTACAGGCACAGAAGAGCCTGCTCAACAAATAACCAGCATGTGCTGTGACGGGGCAAGGCCAGATGGCTATAGAAAAGTAGTGGGAGATAGATATATAAGCTCCAGGCTAAACAAATCCCTGGTACCAGGTTAAGTGAAATGGAAGCTGCTCCAGGTCAATTAAGAACTTTCCAGAAGGCAGGGAGAAGGCTAGGTTGATTGGGACACCTGAAGCCAATCAGGGGCTGGCTGAAACTAGTTAAAAGCCTCCCAGTCAGTCAGGTGGGTGCAGATGTCAGGAGCTGTGGGAGGAAGTTGTGCTGTTGGAGAGGCTGAGTAGTACACACCATATCAGGCACAAGGAAGGAAGCCCTGAGGTAAGGGTGAAGTGGAGCTTGAGGAAGTGAGGGCTGCTGTGGGGGAAGTAGCCCAGGGAATTGTACATGTCATGTTTCTAAAAGGTCAGCTACCACAGCTGATACTATTAGGGTCCCTGAGCTGGAGCCCGGAGTAGAGGGTGGGCCCGGGCTCCCCCCCACCTTTGCCCCCTGATCAATCACTGAGACTGGGAGACAACAGAGACTGCAAGGAAGGATAACTGCTCCTCACCTCCCTTGCTGGCTTATGATGAAAATGGCTAAGTAGACTGTGACCCTTGTCTCTAGAGAAAGAAGGGTTACTGGAGGGTCACAGTGAGCCTCTGAGGCTAGCAGAATGCACCAGGAAACGGGGGACCCACGGAGGCAAGGACAGAGCTTTGTCACAGTGCTCAGAATGTTTACACAAGATAAAAGGCAATGCTTTAATGTCAGGTTAAGCAAATTTAACTGATTCAGCCATTAACCCCTTGGTGCCAGGGGATCGAGACATTCAGCAGCCCTTCTCACCATGGGCATAGGCCAGAGGATTCACTAAATTGGAGTGCTCAGCTTGAGATCTAGAGCTTGTTGGGCATCCAGACACCAGCAGCTCGCCTTGACTTCAGTTTTGGGGGTGTTAGTACTCAGCACCTCTGAAAAAAATCGAACTTAAATATCAAAAAAACAACAACCCAAAACCCTGAAAATTAGTGGAGACTTGATGATTTGGGCTTTAAGGCCATGTAGTATTAAGGATCATCCACTAGATAGCATAAAGGCAAGCGTGTAGATAGATTGCTTGACCAAATTTCTGCTACATATTGGTGGATAATCTTAACAGATACCTGACAATTTTCTTTGGACGAGCAAACACACTGAAGTGAACAGAGATTGCAGTGAGCTTTATGTTAAGGCCAGCAAAAGTTTTGTCTTGCCTCTCCACAACTGAATGAGGGAAGTCAGTAATTTTCCAGACAAATCATGTAGTCCAGGAATTGTCTAGATCATAATCATCAAATTCAGAGGCTACCTACCCTGCCAATAGTGGATTTATAGGTGATTAGAATTTGCTGACGTTGGTATATACTCCTCTTGGCCACGATATCGATGATGGCATCTTCATCTGTACCTGGGGGAAGACACAGGAAAGCCAGCCAGGTTGTTATTATTATAAATAAGTATTAATTTTGAAGCAGGCAACTCAGCTGACTTGTCAGGTGTGACACAAACTGGTTTTATTCCTTCTAAAACCTGATTTTTCTATGGCACTAGAGAACTAGCACTAGATCACATGTGTTGGCTACCATCTTGGCCAACATATCGGGGACTGAACAGGGAACCTCCAAAGTAAAGAGCCTACAGTGCTATAGCTTTCTCTAAAGAGACAGGGTTCTCTAGGTGGGGCTGTAAGAGGCTCCCATCCTCTGGGAATTGGGCACGGAGGGTGCCCTATAACTTTCGCTTGTCAGTGGGTTACACACTTCAGAAGTTCTTTAGCATCCCCTTGTTAGGAATGCATTTTATCATGACCTTGGGCTGAGAGTCAGTCTGACCGCATAAGCCTGGCCATCAGTTGGATGGGAGACCTCCAAGAAAACAGAAGTGGGCACTGACAGTTTACAAGAGAGCCCTCTTCCCACAGAGGCAATCCTGACATAGTACCTCAACAGGGTGTTGGGATCACCCGATTCCAGGAGAGACAAATCACAGGCTGATTAAAGACAGTCTTGTGGTTAAAGCCAGAGCTTAGAGCTGAGTTTGATTCCCAGCTGTGCCACAGATTTCCTGGGTGACCTTGGATGGAATCCCTGCATCCCTCTCTGTGCCTCAGTTCCCCCATCTGGGGAGTGGAGATAATGATGCTATCTTACTTTGCAGGAGTGTTGTAGGGATAGATTTATTATCAATGTGTGAATGAGCCACTGAGATGCTATAGTGATAGACAGGTAGGCTTCTGCTGCTCTCCATGATCAAACTCCACCCCCTTCCTGTAGGGTTTGAGGCAGTGCTGTCCTTTCCCATTCTGCCCCGTTAAATTCCCTCTGCTCAGATAGATAGTGTTAAATTGAAATTCCTTCCATTTGGATAATGTTCTTTATTTGTGCCAAAGCTGCCTTGTAGTGTTCTATACTGCACAACAGCTGCCCTGTTCCACCCCAGAAGTGGCTGCATTTCATAACTGGATGAGGTGACCCCCATCTCTGGTTTGTAGAGAGCTTGGGGGCAGGAGTCAGTAGAGAAACACAAGTTACCAAACTTTTGCTCTAGTGAGCTGTATGACCTGCAGGATGCTGGCACTCCGAGGAGAGGGGGGTTAGAGTCTTAAAAATAAAGACAAGCTCACCAAGCCCCTTCATGGCTTTCCTTAGTTTCTGTGCATCTTCCTCAGCACTGAAGCCCAAGGCCGCCTTGATTGTACCCCGGTTTCCAGCCTAAAGATACAGAATGTCAATTGTTAAAGACGGAAGCAGAGAAGAACACATGAAAAATCCCAGTTATATACAGATTCTCCTGGAGGGGAGACCAGTTACAAAACAGAGGAGTTGGTTTGTGTTTCGATAAGGTGAGAGTCCATTTAGCCGTACAGCAGGTTACATAAGAATGGCCAGACTGGGTCAGACCAATGGTCCATCTAGCCCACTAACCGGTCTTGTGACAGTGGCCAATGCCACATGCTTCAGAAGGAATGAACAGAACAGAGCTATTATCGAGTGATCCATTGCCTATCATCCAGTCCCATTTTCTGGGGAACAGAGGCTAGAGACACCCAGAGCGTGGGGTTGCATCTCTGACCATCTTTGGCTAACACCCATGGATGGACCTATCCTCAATGAAGTTACTAATTCTTTTCTGAATCCAGTTATATGTTTGGCCTTCACAACATCCCTTAGCAAGGAGTTCCACAGGTTGACTGGGTGTTGCGTGAAGAAACACGCGCGTATCTTTGTTTTAAGCCTGCTGCCTATTAATTTCATTGTGTGACCCCTGTTACGTGAAGGAGTAAATAACACTTCCCGATTCACTTTCTCTACACCATTCATGATTTTGTAGACCTCTGTCATACTCTACCCCCTCCCCCCAGTCATCTGTTTTCCAAGCCCAACTGTCCTAGTCTTTTTACTCGCTCCTCATATGGAAGCTGTTCCATCCCCATGATGATTTGTTGCCCTTCTCTGTACTTTTTCCAATTCTAATGTATCTTTTTTGAGACGAGGCAACAAGTACTGCATGCAGTTTTCAAGTTGTGGGCGTACCATAGGTTTATATAGTGGCACTATGATATTTTCGGTCTTATCGATCCTTTTCCTCATGGGTCCTACCATTCTGTTAGCTTTTTTGACTGCAGAGACAAGCTTCCATTCTGCCCTAAGCCATCACCTCCCCCTGCAGGAGACACACTCCGACAGGGGGCTTCTCTTTCAATTGAGGATTAAGCCACATTGGCATAGGAAACCCCTGGCTGCTGCCTGCACTGTACTTGTTCTGCAATTCAATAAAGGACTCCATTCTCCTGGCCTGCCAATCTGGTGCCTTTGTTAAACCCCATTGTGTCATCTCCCTTTAGTATCAATCGTTATCCGTATCATCATGAAAGAATCAATTCCCTATAAGGCTCCTACATGGCATTTTTACAATGGTGGGCAAATACCATCATTTCCATTTTACAGATGGGGAAACGGAGTCACAGGGAGATGGTGGAGTGACTTCATCATGTCAGAGAGATTAGAACCTGGATCTTGACACCCAATCCAGGGCCAGATCCACTGACTCACACTGCCTGCTTCTGTTCCCACTGAACAATGAGATTCTTTCCATTCACTTCAATGCTCAATGCATAAGGCCATTAGGCCCACATCCTGAAAGGTATTTAGGCACCTATTCCCATTTATTTCAGTGTGAGTGAGGTGCCTAAATACCTTTCAGGATGTGGGCCTTAATGCCTAAACAGGGGCTATTTAGCAGGAGGATCTTAGGTATTTTCCATGAATAGCTGGGCACTTGGATGGGCACTGTAGAGTTCTTAGGAACTTGTTGGGCTTACTGTCATAGGACTAAGCGACCTCTTGACGTCTCTTCCAGCTCTAAATTTCCATGAGCCGATAACAAAGCTCATTGATTTTGGTGCAAGACCTGGCCCTTAGTAAATATCTAGATTACTGAAGATAATCCACATTCTAGTATGAGGAAATAGGCAGCAATGAGTCCTTCCCACTGTGTCAGGCAGCGCTAGCCCTCTTCTTGCTACATCATTTTTCTAAGTAAATATAATTGCACTGATCAGATAAATGTAGTCAATGCCGGGACTGACTCTACCTAGCTCTGCCTGGTACCTGGAAGCAAACACACTCACCTTTGCCATAGTATTCAGTTAATATTTTAAACGTCAAGGTCCCCAAACAGATGGTTATCTGCAATAAAAAAAAAGAGGGAGTGTTGATAAAAAGGAAGTGTCCTAGAAAATAATTGAAAGAATTCACTCTCTCTGCCTCTATCCCAAGGGGACTTAAATCAATGGGGCTGGTTCTTCCTGACACTGTAAAGAAATAACTGCTTCATTCTTCAAGGTAAAAGTCAATAACTGTTCACCAACATTCTTGTTCCAATGGGTTACATTCACCTTTGAGATAACTACTATCACTTCCCTCGATCTGCTGGCAATGCCCCTACTAATATGCCGTTAGCCTTCTTGGCAACAAGGGCACACTGCTGACTCATATCCAGCTTCTCATCCACTGTAATCCCCAGGTCCTTTTCTGCAGAACTGCTGCTTAGCCATTCAATTTCAACCATTTGAAAACATTTTTTAATTTTTATAAAATAAAATTAAAGTTGAGAAACAAAGTAGTTTCAAATCAAAAAGACTGAAGTTCATTTCAAAAGTGACAAAACAAACTGTTTGATTGGGGGGAGGAGACAGAGGGAGCAAACCAACAATTCAGCAGAATCTACACAAATTTGCAAAATGTTTTGGTGTCAGCGAAGCTGAAATTTTTCGCCAAAAAGAGTTTCAGCTGAAAAGTTTTGCTCAGTTTTAACTAAATTACCCAGAGACCTGGGAAAGAAATTCTAATTTAGGATTCAGATAGTTAGGTATAAGATTTACTCTTCTGGTTTTAATTAGCATCTCCTTTAAAAGGCTCAGTGTTCTGCACACTTTGTCTGAGTAGTTGCAGTTAGAATATATAATTCCATGAAAACCCACAGCTGGAACTTGTCTTTAAAGCTCTGAAGATTCCATAGACCGTTTATTTGCCATTTCGCAGAGCCCAGTTTTTATGCACATAGTTATTTCTGTTTTAATTAAGGAAGCCTAAAAACCATAAATGAACATAATCAAAAGCTATAAAGAGCCTTTTCCAAGCTCACTTATTCCAGCTAAGGGGAGGGGAAAAGGCAAAGAGTCAGAATTTGGCCCACACATCTGAAACAAGACCTCACATCTTGTCAATGTCAAGAGCTACTACTCTGAGGGGGAATAGCCCTTGGAGTTCAATGGAGCTACTGCAGAGGTAGCAGAATTATCCCCCGGAGCCATTTCAAGCGACTGTTACAAACCCAGCAGTGCTGTGGGATTATGCTGTTTCAGCAATGTTGATTCAGCTGCGACTTTTGTTGGTGTTTGTGAGGAGTAAGGAGGCCCCATGTGCCGGATTATTAAGAAACACACATTTACAAGGAGGAATGACGAGGAGTTGAGACTCAAGAACCCAGATCCTCAGCTGGTGGCAGCTCCGTTAAAGTCAATGCAGCCAGGCTGATTTACCCCAGTGGAGGATCTGGCCCATATAACGCTAGCTGAATGTTCTCTTTCATCTTAGGTTCCATAGTTATTGCAGACATATACAATATTGACCACGACAGCTTGAAAGGAAAAGTTAACTGTGATGATAAGGCCTTAACTGGAGTACTGCGTCTAGTTCTGGGCTCCACATTTCGAGAAAGATGTGGACAAACTGGAGAAAGTCCAAGGACGGCAACAGAATTGATTACAGGTCAGGAAAACATGACCGATGAGGAAAGATTGACAAAACTGGGTTTGTTTAGTCTGCAGAAGAGAAGACTTGGTGGACTTATGATAACAGTTTTCAGGTATGTAAAACATTGTTACAAGGAGGAGGGTGAAAAATTGTTCTTCTGCACCTCTGAAGATAGAGCAAGAACCAATGGGCTTAAATTGCAGCAAGGGAGATTTTGGTTAGGAAGTTTTTTCTAATGTCTAACTGTCTGGGTGGCATTGGAAGCGAAGCATTGCAACAAATTGCCTAGGGAGGTTGTGGAATCTCCATTATTAGAGGTTTTTAAGAAGAGGTTAGACAAACACTTGTCCAGAATAGTCTAGTTATTATGTAGTCCTGCCTTGAGTGCAGGGGATTGGACTAGGTGACCTATTGAGGTCCCTTCCAGTCCTACGCTTCTAGGATTCTATGTTGTGAAGTTCTCCATTTCCCTCATTCTAGACCTTACTTCCGTTCCAGACAATCTTGACATTCCCATATTTATTAGTGTAAGCTATCTATTCTTGCACCCATGTATGATCATGACACTCAGTTTATTAAGAGCTGGGGAGGTGAAAAAAATTAATTCCACATCATTTAAAAAATTCTCCCCTTTTGGCTTTTTCTAGATGGACCAGAGACCCAGAAAGGTGTCCCTGGACAATGACAAGTTGAGAGATCAATATTTTTGGCCTCAGTTTTCCCAGAGTGTCCACTTACTTTGGGGGTCTCAGCTTCTGGGTACTCCAATTGAGACAACTTCTCTCAAGGCCTGATTTGAAAGGTGCTGAACACCCATATCTCCAGTTAATTTCAATGAGAGGCAAGGGTGCTCAGCAGCTCTGAAAATTAGGCACCAAATAGAGCCTCAATTTGGACACTCAGAAACCCCCTCCCACTCCCCCCCCAAAAAAGAGCAGACACTTGAAAATGCAGGCCAGCCATAGCATACTACCTGTTGCAAAACCCTTGTTCCAGCTGGAGACTCAGTCTACGATAGTTAGCTGAGCAAAGCTGGGCAGACAACATCTCACTTCGGGGGGGGCAGAGTTGCCTACAGCATCTTTGTAACGGGTTTTCTGGCACAATTCGAACTACACGTGAAGTTACCGTGGAAGAGAGAAAGGTGGGTGTGGTGATACCTTTTATTGGACCCACTTCTGTGGAGAGATGTCTTGCCAGATGAACGTGAGACGTTACTGCAAGAGTTTTATGTTCTTTCTTGGCTGCGTTGATAAATGAATCATTTATACTGCATCCAGAAAAGTGCTAGGCCCCTCCCTACCCCCCCCAAAAAGGACAGCTCTGAAGAGCTTAGGAGGAGACAGGACAAAGGTAACAGAAGGAAGGTCATGCTGCATTCAGGTACGTTAAGAACAATTTTCCAAAGCGCTGGAGTGACTTAGGATACGTCTGCACTGCAAAATAAATAAATAAATAAAAACCCGCAGGAGTGAGCCTCAGAGCCTGGGTCAACTGACTCAGGCTCCTGCTATGGGGCTAAAAACAACAGTGAGATGTTCTCACTCGGTCTGGATCCCAGGCTCAGAGACCCACATACCTCGCAGGGTTTCAGACTTGGACTCCCACCTGAGCAGGGACGTCTATGCTGTTATTTTAGTCAGCTGACCCAGGCTCTGAGACTTGCTGTTGTGAGATTTTATTTTTTTGTAGCGTACAAAACCATTTTAGGCTCTTAAGTGCTATTTTCAAAAGTGACATGGACACTTAGGAGCCTGAGTCCAATCAAGTTTCAATGTAATGCATTCACTGCATTGAAAGACCCTGGGAGTCAGGACCCTAAGTGACCAAGTCACTTTTGAAAATGGGACTTGGGAGCCTATGGACAATCGCAGAGGAGGAGCTGGGCTGGACTGATGATCATGCAGGACAAAAACATTCAGAGATTTTTGAATGAGTTGGAAAATGGATGAATGAAACCCATGACAGAAGAGAATTAATTTATCCACAGTCTCCAGAATTAAAAAAAGCCCATCTCCAAGTCCTATTGATTAAATGCACAGAGACCGCCCACTCAAGAAGTTAGAAGTGCCACGGACTTCACCTTCTATTCTGAGGGCTTGTCTACACCGGCACTTTGAAACGCTGCAACTTTCTCGCTCAGGGGTGTGAAAGAACACCCCCCGAGCGCGGCAAGTTTCAGGGCTGTAAAATGCCAGTGTAGACAGCGCACCAGCGCTGGGAGCTATGCCCCTCGTGCTGCAACTGCACAAGCCACGGCAGCACTTTAACATTGCCAGTGAAGACGTGCCCTTAGTAACCTGAAGACTGATTCCTCACTGACTTGTACCTTGTGCAGGTAATTTATATTGGTGCAAAGCAGGTGTAGACCTCTACCATTGATTTGGTAACACTCACACCCACTTTGAATTGGCGCATGTGACTACACAAAGTGCGAAGCAGTGGAGAGTCAAGCCCCTAATGTCCTTCTCGCTGTTCTGACCACACTGATTTATTTTTCGTTGTGCAAGTGGAGAGAATGCAATGGAGTCAGTTTCACTTTGGCTAAGTGTCCCTGGGCTGCAAATGTTTCAGGGAGGAAACGTTGATTTTTGTTTTAAGTGAAAATTTCTGTGAATTTTTAAAAGTAAATTGAGGGGAATTTTCAATTGGTATGGGGTTTTGCAAGACTAAAAATCCAAATGAAGAGCCTGATTTGAGTTGCTTTCATCCCTTTTAGCAAGACATTAATTAAAAAAACCCACAACTTCGAAGTTCCACAGAGGTTTTCCGCCTGCACTGGAAAACACTGCTCAGGTTGTTTCTATCCAGAAGCAGGAGTAACACAGATGTCTGTGTTCAAATTGACTAGAGGAAATAACAAAAGCAGAATTTTTCTTAGATAAACAAAGACAGGGGAAGACAGCCTAAAAATAAATGAGGTGACAAAAAAAACCAAACAAACAAAGAACACAAGGCAGAGACATCCCCACAAGATGTAGGGCAAGTGCTCCTGACAGCTCCCACTGAAACTTATGCACTTTTGGAACCTTCAGAGACACTGCCTGGAATCTAACTTGGTCTGTAACAGGTTGCTAGAGTCCCTTCAGAATGATTTTTAATTCCGTCTGAAATGATCCAGAATCAGGCCTGAAGCAAATAAAAACTAGAGGGCAAATCCTGCTGACTTTGGACCTGCTTCACCATTTCCATCCGTGAAAAGTGGGTGTAAAATGCTACCAAATCAGAATGGAAGTACGGTCCATCCATTCCGTACTGGTGTAACTGAAACCACAAGGTGTAGGTCATTGGTGATTCAGGCCCTGTATTCAGTCAAAGTTCCCACTGAACTTCTGTCCTATTGAACTAAATGGAACCAGTTCTCCTCTCACTTTCACTCCTGATTTCACATCAGTGTCTTGAACAAAGTTAATGGCTTGAATAGAGATGAGAGGAGAACCAGCACCAATGGAAAATTTGTCTGAAAAACAATAGTAGGATTTAGTGCCTGGTAAATAAAGCAGAAAATCCAGCGGAACGCTTGAGTGATAGCTCCTCCCACCAAACACCAACATTTTGGTGTTCAGCCTGAATGTTTAGATTCCACCCTCACTATCCCACCCAACAGATAATCAGGAATGCCATAATCTTTTCGTCACCAAAGGCAACCTTTGCAGCTCAGTGAGAGCCCTAAGCCTGATCCTGTAAAATGCTTTTGTCCCTGCTTAATGCTATACTAGCATGAGCAGTCCCACTGAAGTCAAAGTGACTATTGGCTTCGGTGGTTGCAGGATTGGGGTCCTAGTGAGCCGAACCCCTGAACCTGCAATCGGATCCACTAGCAGCAATCCCTGTATGCCTGCCAGCACAGCCCCACTTAACGTGCGTGCAGGAGTCCACGCTAGCAGATCCAGCGGCAGGATTAGCATATAGAATTGGAAGGGGAAGTGGCTGTAGGGTGCATGTTTCAGATCTCTGACTGATACAGAAGCACACACAGGCCTATGCCTACACACACTTACCAGCTCCTCTGCACAGTGAAATTGACCAGAATAGCTACCCTGGGACTGGCTGTTCTATTCCAGGCAAGGTGAGGGTGAGGTAATATCTTTTATTGGATCAACTTCTGTTGGTGCAAGAGACAAGCTCTGGAGCCACACAGAGCTCTCCTTCAGCTGCTCATTCCAGAATAAGTGTGTCTCCACACAGGCAGTTATTCTGGAATAGCTATTGTGCTTTAAATTCACACCCAGCCTGATTCCGGAATAACTTCTCCCTATAGACAAGCCCTTTTAAAGGGGAAAAGTACACACTGAAACCTGCATTTTACGCCTATAATTGGCTTTTGCTGAACGTGTAAATCAATGAATGAGAGCAGGAACCGGGTGTGCCCTTTCCATGGCATGGTTAGGGCTTAGCCTAGGGTTTGTAATGGAAACACCGAAAGTCTCAGGGATCAGCTACCTGGAAGAGCAGGTGCAGGATTTCCTTGACTGCTTCCAGCCTGCCATATCCACCGCCTCAAACAGACCCTCCAAACCCCACCAAATTGGCTCTGCCACCCCTAACTGCTTCCTATGCAATGGGCCAGTCCCCTCTCAGTTCGGATGGGGTCATTCCGGGATGATTTCATTGCCTTCCATGGGACGATGCCACAGTCACACTGGCGTAAGCAAGAGCAGAATCTGGCCCCCAAGCTCCCCTTTCCTTCCCAGAGCTGACACCTTCCAGCAACCTCCCCACCCACTCAGCTCACTAGAAAGCGCAGCTGCTGCCCTACCTGGCGGCTGAGACTCCTTCCTTCTCCCCATCCACCTCCACTCCCCACCGCCGGCCTAGCCAAATGCGCGCTGCTACCCCGCAGCCCAGGCGGGCTGGGCCATTCCCGGGGCGGCGCGGCAGCAGCGGGGTGAAGCAAACTTTTCACCATCCCCCAGCAGGACAGGCGTGGAGGGCGTCTCTGAGTCAGGTTCCTCTTTCCCACGCGTTAGGGCCCAGGGCCCTGGCCTCTGCCTGGCCTGCGGAGAAGGGGGGAGAACACCCAGGTCCCGAGCCCGCTCTGGGCTGGCGGAGCGCTTCGGGCCGTGCGCCCTGGGCCGTGCGCCCCTGCGCCAGGCTGTGCGCGCCTCTCCAAGCGCTTATTGCAGGGGGAAGGGACCTGGGTGCGATGCCACGCCCAAGCCCCCTGTGATGCAGGATCGGGGTCCCCCCCCCTCAAGCCCCCAACGCTGCGAGGAGAGGGGCTGGGGAGCCGCCCTGGCTGCGCTGCGGCCTTTGGAAAGCGGAGCTCCCCGTGGCGCGCTGGGGAGCCCAGGCGCCGCCAGCCGCAGCACCGGGAGACGCGGGTCCCAACCCCCGGCGAGCCTGCGGGGGGCTCTGCCTGGAAAACGGGCCACTCACCCGCTGCTCCAGAGGCCGTGGCGTTTGCTGCTCTCGAGTGTGGCGGGGAGACTAATCACGAGCGCTCCGGGGCTTGACACACAAGGGCAGGACACGCCCTGACTCAGGGGTGGGGCTCATTGGATTGCAGATCTGGAAAGAACTCACTAGCTCCGCTTTCACTCGGGGGAGGGGGAGCGGCCAGGGCATCCCCTCCCGCTCTCTGGAGCCAGGCATTTCCCCGCAGGGCAGGGGGATCCATTTCTCCTTTCCCTAGCTCTGGGGTTGGGTTATCAGTATCACTCAAGGGGAGCACTAAAGGACGCCCCCCTCCCTAAATTCAGGGGCATGCACTCAGTCTAGCATTCACAATTAAATGGAGACTCTTACAACTGGGGTTCACCTATCTAGCCATTCCGCTCAGAGCATCTATTCCTTCCATTTACAGAATCTATCTCAGATTCAGAACATAAGTGCTGCCCTACTGTGACCAGTATCCTATCTTAGGGGAGTGATTCCCCCTGTCTTCCCCTCCAGCTTCTGGCAGTCAGAGGTTTAGGGACACCCACAGAATGGGATTACATCCTTGAACATCTTGGCTAATAGCCATTGATGGACCAAGCCTCCATGAATTTATCTAGTAATCCTTTTTGAACCCAGTTATACTTCTAGGCATCACAACATCCCATGTCACTCAGTTCCACAGGTTAATTGCATTTTGTGCATTCCTATTTTTTGTATTAAATCTGCTTATTAATTTAATTGGGTGACCCCAGGGGTTTCTGTATGACTTAGGAGGAGAGGCTGAGGGAACTGGGCTTATTTAGTCTGCAGAAGAGAAGGGCCCGGGAGCACAAAAACCTCTGTGAAACTTTGAAGTTGTGTTTTTTTAATTAATGTCTTGCTGAAAGGGATGAAAGCAACTCAAATCAGGCTCTTCATTTGGATTTTTAGTCTTGCAAAACCCCATACCAACTGAAAATTTCCCTCAATTTACTTTTAAAATTCACAGAAATTGTCACTTAAAACAAAAATCAAAGTTTCCTCCCTGAAACGTTTTGCAGCCCAGGGACACTTAGCCAAAGTGAAACTGACTCCATTGCATTCTCTCCATTTGCAGAATGAAAAATAAACCAATGTGGTCGAAACGAATAAAAGGACATTACGGGCTTGATTCTCCACTGCTTTGCACATTGTGTAGTCACATGCGCCAGTTCAAAGTGGGTGTAAGTGTTACCAAATCAATGGTAGCGGTCTACACCCACTTTGTACCAATATAAATTACCTACACCAGGTGCAAGTCAATGGAGAATCAGTCTCCAGACTACTTCTAACTTCTTGAGTGGGCGGTCTATGTGCATTTAATAAATGGAACTTGGAGATCGGCTTTTTTAATACTGGAAATTGTGGATAAGTTAATTTTTTTCTGTCATGGGTTTCATTCGTCTATTTTTCACCTCATTCAAAAATCTTTGAATATTCTTCTCCTGCATGATCATCGGTCCAGCCCATCTCCTCCTCTGTGATTGTCCATAGGCTCCCAAGTCCCATTTTCAAAAGTGACTTGCTCACTTAGGACCCTGACTCCCATGGTCTTTCAATGCAATGAATGCATTACATTGAAAGTTGATTGGACTCAGGCTCCTAAGTGTCCATGTCACTTTTGAAAATAGCACTTAAGAGCCTAAATGGTTTTGTACGCTACAAAAAAATTAAAAAAATCTCAAGACAGCAAGTCTCAGAGCCTGGGTCAGCTGACTCAGGCTTCTGCTATGGGACTAAAATGGCAGCATAGACGTCCCTGCTCAGGTGGGAGCCCAAGTCTGAAACCCTGTGAGGTGTGTGGGTCTCCGAGCCAAGGCTCCAGCCCCAGCGAGAACATCTCACTGCTGGTTTTAGCTCCGTAGCAGGAGCCCGAGTCAGTTGACCCAGGCTCTGAGGCTCATTCCTGCGGGTTTTTATTTTTATTTTTTTGCAGTGCAGACGTATCCTAAGTCACTCCAGCGCTTTGGAAAATTGTTCTTAACGTACCTGAATGCAGCATGACCTTCCTTCTGTTACCTTTGTCCTGTCTCCTCCTAAGCTCTTCAGAGCTGTCTTTTTTTGGGGGGGGGGGAGGGCGGGGCTAGAACTTTTCTGGATGCAGTATAAATGATTCATTTATCAATGCATCCAAGTAAGAACATAAAACTCTTGCAGTAACGTCTCACGTTCATCTGGCAAGACATCTCTCCACAGAAGTGGGTCCAATAAAAGGTATCACCACACCCACCTTTCTCTCTTCCACGGTAACTTCACGTGTAGTTCGAATTGTGCCAGAAAACCCGTTACAAAGATGCTGTAGGCAACTCTGCCCCCCCCGAAGTGAGATGTTGTCTGCCCAGCTTTGCTCAGCTAACTATCGTAGACTGAGTCTCCAGCTGGAACAAGGGTTTTGCAACAGGTAGTATGCTATGGCTGGCCTGCATTTTCAAGTGTCTGCTCTTTTTTTGGGGGGGGGGTGGGAGGGGGTTTCTGAGTGTCCAAATTGAGGCTCTATTTGGTGCCTAATTTTCAGAGCTGCTGAGCACCCTTGCCTCTCATTGAAATTAACTGGAGATATGGGTGTTCAGCACCTTTCAAATCAGGCCTTGAGAGAAGTTGTCTCAATTGGAGTACCCAGAAGCTGAGACCCCCAAAGTAAGTGGACACTCTGGGAAAACTGAGGCCAAAAATATTGATCTCTCAACTTGTCATTGTCCAGGGACACCTTTCTGGGTCTCTGGTCCATCTAGAAAAAGCCAAAAGGGGAGAATTTTTTAAATGATGTGGAATTAATTTTTTAACTTCCCCAGCTTCTGATAAACTGAGTGTCATGATCATACATGGGTGCAAGAATAGATAGCTTACACTAATAAATATGGGAATGTCAAGATTGTCTGGAACGGAAGTAAGGTCTAGAATGAGGGAAATGGAGAACGTCACAACATAGAATCCTAGAAGCGTAGGACTGGAAGGGACCTCAATAGGTCACCTAGTCCAATCCCCTGCACTCAAGGCAGGACTGCATAATAACTAGACTATTCTGGACAAGTGTTTGTCTAACCTCTTCTTTAAAACCTTTAATAATGGAGATTCCACAACCTCCCTAGGCAATTTGTTGCAATGCTTCACTTCCAATGCCACCCAGACAGTTAGACATTAGAAAAAACTTCCTAACCAAAATCTCCCTCTCTGCAATTTAAGCCCATTGCTTCTTACTCTATCCTCAGAGGTGCAGGAGAACAATTTTTCACCCTCCTCCTTGTAGCAATCTTTTACGTACTGTGACAAAGGTCCTGCTCTACCTTGATGGGTCTTGCGCTTATTGGCGGATTTGCTCGCCTTGGAGCTTCACAGCAGCCCTCAGCTTGGCCATTTTTCTGAATTCACAGTCCAGGTCGACTCCTCCTGTGTCTGACCAGGAGTTGGGAGGATTTGTGGGGAACCCGGGCCCGCCCTCTACTCCAGGTTCCAGCCCAGGGCCCTGTGGAATGCAGCTGTCTAGAGTGCCTCCTGGACTACAACTCCCTGGGCTACTTCCCCATGGCCTCCTCCCAACACCTTCTTTACCCTCACCATAGGACCTTCCTCCTGGTGTCTGATAATGCTTGTACACCTCAGTCCTCCAGCAGTCCGCGTTCTCACTTTCAGCTCCTCTTGCTCCCAGCTCCTCACACGCACACCACAAACTGAAGTGAGCTCCTTTTTAAAACCCAGGTGCCTGATTAGCCTGCCTTAATTGATTCTAGCAGCTTCTTGATTGGCTGCAGGTGTTCTAATCAGCCTCCAGATTGTCTCCAGAAGGTTCCTGATTGTTCTGGAACTTACCTGTTACCTTGCCTAGGGAAAAGGGACCTAGTTAGCCTGGGGCTAATATATCTGGGGCTATTACTCTCCTATAGCCATCTAGCCCGACCCTGTCACAGGACCTGAAAACTGTTATCGTAAGTCCACCAAGTCTTCTCTTCTGCAGACTGAACAAACCCAGTTTTTTCAGTCTTTCCTCATCAGTCATGTTTTCCTGACCTGTAATCAATTCTGTTGCCGTCCTTGGACTTTCTCCAGTTTGTCCACATGTTTCTTGAAATGTGGAGCCCAGAACTGGACGCAGTACTCCAGTTAAGGCCTTATCATCACGGTTAACTTTTCCTTTCAAGCTGTCGTAGTCAATATTGTATATGTCTGCAATAACTATGGAACCTAAGATGAAAGAGAACATTCAGCTAGTGTTATATGGGCCAGATCCTCCACTGGGGTAAATCATCCTGGCTGCATTGACTTTAACGGAGCTGCCACCAGCTGAGGTTCTGGGTTCTTGTGTCTCAACTCCTCGTCATTCCTCCTTGTAAATGTGTGTTTCTTAATAATCCGGCACATGGGGCCTCCTTACTCCTCACAAACACCAACAAAAGTCGCAGCTGAATCAACATTGCTGAAACAGCATAATCCCACAGCACTGCTGGGTTTGTAACAGTCGCTTGAAATGGCTCCGGGGGATAATTCTGCTACCTCTGCGGTAGCTCCATTGAACTCCAAGGGCTATTCCCCGTCAGAGTAGTAGCTCTTGACATTGACAAGATGTGAGGTCTTGTTTCAGATGTGTGGGCCAAATTCTGACTCTTTGCCTTTTCCCCTCCCCTTAGCTGGAATAAGTGAGCTTGGAAAGGCTCTTTATAGCTTTTGATTATGTTCATTTATGGTTTTTAGGCTTCCTTAATTAAAACAGAAATAACTATGTGCATAAAAACTGGGCTCTGCGAAATGGCAAATAAACGGTCTATGGAATCTTCAGAGCTTTAAAGACAAGTTCCAGCTGTGGGTTTTCATGGAATTATATATTCTAACTGCAACTACTCAGACAAAGTGTGCAGAACACTGAGCCTTTTAAAGGAGATGCTAATTAAAACCAGAAGAGTAAATCTTATACCTAACTATCTGAATCCTAAATTAGAATTTCTTTCCCAGGTCTCTGGGTAATTTAGTTAAAACTGAGCAAAACTTTTCAGCTGAAACTCTTTTTGGCGAAAAATTTCAGCTTCGCTGACACCAAAACATTTTGCAAATTTGTGTAGATTCTGCTGAATTGCTGGTTTGCTCCCTCTGTCTCCTCCCCCCAATCAAACAGTTTGTTTTGTCACTTTTGAAATGAACTTCAATCTTTTTGATTTGAAACTACTTTGTTTCTCAACTTTAATTTTATTTTATAAAGATTAAAAAATGTTTTCAAATGGTTGAAATTGAATGGCTAAGCAGCAATTCTGCAGAAAAGGACCTGGGGATTACAGTGGATGAGAAGCTGGATATGAGTCAGCAGTGTGCCCTTGTTGCCAAGAAGGCTAACGGCATATTAGTAGGGGCATTGCCAGCAGATCGAGGGAAGTGATTATTCCCCTCTATTCAGCACTGGTGAGGCCACACCTGGAGTATTGCGTCCAGTTTTGGGCCCCCCACTACCGAAGGGATGTGGACAAATTGGAGAGAGTCCAGCGGAGGGCAAATGAAAATGATCAGGGGGCAGGGGCACATTTCAAGGAGAGGCTGAGGGAACTGGGCTTGTTTAGTCTGCAGAAGAGAAAAGCGAGGGGGGATTTGATAGCAGCCTTCAACTACCTGAAGGGGGTTTCCAAAAAGGATGGAGCTTGCCTAGTCTCAGTGGTGGCAGATGACAGAACAAGGTGCAATGGTCTCAAGTTGCAGTGGGGGAGGTCTAGGTTGGATATTAGGAAACACTGTTTCACTAGGAGGGTGGTGAAGCACTGGAATGGGTTGCCTAGGGAGGTGGTAGAATCTCCATCCTTAAAGGTTTTTAAGGCCTGGCTTGACGAAGCCCTGGCTGGGATGATTTAGTTGGTGTTGGTCCTGCTTTGAACTGGGGATTGGACTAGATCACCTCCTTAGGTCTCTTCCAACCCTAATCTTCTATGATTCTATGATTGTAGCAAAGGGTAAATAGCACTTCCCTATTCACTTTTCCCACACCATTCATGATTTTATAGACCTCTACCAAATCCCCCTGTAATTTTGTCTTTTCTAAGGTGAACAGCCCTAATCTTTTTACTCTCACCTTCTCTGGAAGCCATTCCAGATCTGTGATCATATTTGTTGTCCTTCTCTGAACCTTTTCAGTTCCACTCTATTCATTTTGAGATGAGGTGACCTGAACTGGACACATTATTCAAGAGGCAGGCACACCATGGATTTATATAGTAGCATTATGATATTATCTGTCTGATTTTCTATCCCTTTCCTTGTAGTTCCTAACATTCTGGTAGTCTTTTTGACCATTGCTGCTCACTGAGCGGAAGTTTTCAGAGAACTATCCACAATGACTCCAAGATACCTTTCTAAACAGCTACGTTAGAACCCATTATTATATATCTTTAGTCGGGATTATTTTTTCCAGTGTGCATTCCTTTGCACTGATTGTAAACTCTTTGGGGCCAGAGACCATCTTTTCGTTCAGTGTTTGTACAGCGCTGAGCCCAGTGGGCTCCTGGTCCACAAATTGGGCTCCTAGGGTGTTATCACTGTGCAAATAATAATTAAATAATCTAGCTAGCTATCATTTGTGTGTAGGGCATCTCCCCTTTGTATCTAAGGGGTACAGAATTAAAGAGCACAAATGCCCAGAACAAAAAGTTCATCCCCATGTTGTTTATTAGTATTTTCCCCTCTACTTAACAGTGTTGGGTCATTCCCTTTGCTCACAGTCCTCACTTTCAGGCCCTTTGTGCCGTGTGAGGAAGCTCACCAGGAAATCCTCAGGTTCTCCTTTCCAGCATGTGCAGTGGGCGGCCACACCTTGTTCATCTCTCTCCTGTGCAATCCGCCCTCTTGCAGGACGTTACCATGACTTCAAATTGGCAGCCTGAACTAAGGCAAGCTGTGTTTCAAAGAGCATGTCTGTACAGTTAGTTTATTATTGTTTCCATTGCAATCTGGGCTCCAGCAGTTTCTTTTCCAGCAGAGACTGAGCTCTTGTGCTATTCCTGAAGTTTAAAAAAATAAAGTTGCTTACTATTTCATTGGAGTGAAGAGGTTGTCGAGGGAAAATGATACACAGGGCACAAATACACCACAGAAACACAGAGGCAAGGATCCCACTTACAACACTGATATCCTTCGTATCTAATCTAATCTATCTTTCAATTTATATGGACCCCAACTCTGCAGTATCTGAGACCATGCCCTGCTTACAATAGGGTTACAACTTGTAGTGTGAATGGGACCAACAT